GTGCAATTTGTATGATATTGTATCGTCGATCAGATGGGATAACCAATTTATGCTCTCCTTCTGGGTCTCTCTTCCACAGTTCTCCATCCTTGAGGAAGAACTCAGAAGCATAATTAACAAATGTTTGTAATTGATCCTTAGAAAGATCTGGAGGTTGAGTCAAATCAGAGAGAAAACGTCTGACTTGCTCAAGTCTTGCATCTGCTGCAAGTGCCTTCTTATCACGTGTATGGAATACAAGACTGGTACGCTCAATTTCAAATGAGATTGGTGCCTTAATACCCTGGATACCTCTATATTACTTCATATAGAGATATATTTTTTATATGTAATCAATATTACTATTTTAAGATACCTCTTTGTATATCTAAATATAGTTGTCATGCATAATAAGACACTGCTCCACTAGAATACTGAATAGTGTTAGGAATATACCAAAATCTGGATATATGAATATAAGATGAAGAGTATTGATTAAAATACAGTAAGATTGAAAAGAAAGTAAAGAGTCACATGGTTCTCTACCTGGGTGCACCTGGACCTGACCTGCCAGATCCTAGGTACCAAATTGCCTGACCCAGGACCTGTACCTGCACCTGGTTCTTAAAAACCTAGGTCTTACAGGTGTGGGTCCCAGGTTTGCCATGGGTGTGTGTGGGTTTTATAGACCTAGTATATGTCTATAGGGGTTTTCAAGGTCACCAAATCCGAATATAGCATCAGATTTTTTATCAGAAATCTCCCTGATCCAAAATAGCCCTTGGAACCTATTTTTAGATCATTTTGAGCTATTTGCCTCTCATTTCCTGAGTTTGTTTCATTGTATAAAATTTATTTGCATGGGTTTTAAAGTGTTTTTGAGGTCATAGAATACAAATATGCCATCCGATCATAAATCGGGAATGATCTCGAGCCATGGAAGGCATTTGAAGCTTTTTCTTCATTTTCTTGATCTTTTCCGATTCATTGTTACAAGCCACACATGAGCCAAAATAAATACATCCATAGGTTGCTATATGTTATCGATGCTGTAGAATGTGATTATTATCACCGATTAATATGCGGAGTCAGTCCTGAGGCACAGTAAGCATCCGAAGCTATTTTGCTGAATTTTGCAGTGATTCACCTGTACTTTCCTGGCTCACAGACATGCCCCATAAATCATTTGAATGGTCATCTAGGGGTTGTCTGGGTCACCAAATCCAAATATGATATCCAATCATTGATCAGATTTCTCTATAAGTGAATATAGCTATCTTAAGGTCATTTTACTTGTCTTTTTGTGGGTTTTGATGTTTTTATGACCTCCCAGAGCTCCCAGGGCTCGCAATTTTTATCCGTTAATGGTGTGCAGGTCCCTGATGGGTCACCCATGGGTGAGCCTGCCTCAGAATGTGTTGACCTGGACCTGTTAACCCACAGGTCCGACTTTTTAATAAATTGAAAACCCAGACCCAGGTCTTTCTATGGGTCCACCTGGGTCCTAGTAGGAATCATGCGACTCTTTAAAAGAAAGCATGTATGTTATTAGAAAACACTATACTATTTCAACCAGATACTCATAGATATTCATATAGATTTAACCTACTTGTACAGAACTCATATAATTATACTCACAAACTTTATATTTCCAGCCTTTAACAGTATGGTACAGGCTCATATATATGGTATTCATATCTGCTATATATACAGATACAGTGGCTATTCTTATATGCAGTATTCATATACTAAATATCTGGCTACACTTATTATTTTGTAAAATTTGTGACAAGAAACTCCGCTCGATGTGACATATGTCACACTATAGCCATCCAGCTCGATGAGGTGTGATGTGACAAAATTCATCGAGCTGGATGGGCTGTGTCACATCACACTTTATTGAAATTCAATTTAAGAAATTCAACTTCATATCTTAGTCTGCTATACTTGTTATAAAAGTTTGAGATATGATTGTGTTTATAATTAGAGTTTTGTCTAAGCTGTAATAGCTATTTAAAGCTATTTAAACTGTCACTGCATAGAGAATTTAGCATTCTAGCCTAAAATATTGAATTTTATAATCATTTACTTGTTTAATATTAGACTAGAATGCTCAGATAATATTTTCGTAGTACTTGGGAGATTTCTAATATCTCTTGTTGAGATATCAAATATGCTGCACTTCTGATGGCTATTACTTATTGTTGCACCCCTTTCTGTAGTATAATTCTATTTTTAGTAGTATATAACATAGTGTACCTTGCAATTGAGCCCCTCACATGTTTGTGAGAGTTCTCTGCTTATCTCAGAGTCCCCACTAGTCACCAACTCAAGCCATTTGTACTTAGCATACTTTAACATCTCTCAATAAGGTAGATTGTTAAAACAATATTACAGCTATCTTATAATGTTTTCTAATGTTTACTGAAGCTGCAAACTTTATTTATAAGGTATATACAGATCTATATCAATAATATATTTGTTAAAGATACATTCATCCAAATTTTAGTGATTAGCACTTATAATAATTGTTCTGTATATGTATTAAAATAGCACAACTAATGTGTCTGAGGTCCTATTACTATGTATAGTAGATACAAATAGATACAAATATCAGTTATTGTCATAACCGGAGCGTACCAGTCTTGTATTCTATACACGTGGGATGGTTATAGGAGTATCTGGAGAGATGGGATTTTGGGTTAATGGATGTTTAGTAGCTTTGGCGAGTACTTGGATTGGGCTTATGATCTTTCGCCCTGAAGCTCGAATATCGGGATATGGGTTAATGGTGTGAAGGAAACCATAGTACTTGTCAACCCAATCCAGGTCGTCTCCCTAAGGCGGAGGATCTCCTGGCTGGGGTCATCTTCTGGATAGACCATCTGGCCCATGAGTCTTGCCTGGAACATGTACAAGTTTGAAGTCAAAGAGAAGGATTCCTGCTACCCATCGATTTATGACAGCACTTGGATTCATATCTGGATTATTGATCATTCCTTTGATAGCTGTAGCATCTACTTCCACAATCAGGTTCTTTACAGCAATAATCCAAATTGCAGCTTCTTTAAGTGCACGATAAAGGCCATATAGTTCAAGCTTGGGCTGACTGTAGTTGGATTCAGTTTTGTTTAGTGCTATGGATCCAAACCGTGAAGGATATCGTCGCTTGGGATTATCAGGATCTTGTTGAAACAATGCATATCCTACTGCCTCTGAACTAGTGTCAACAGCTAGAATCACTGGGGCACCAGACTGATAATCAATAGGGTGTAAAGCAGGCGAGTTGATTATTGCTTCTTTCAAAGTCTGTTGAGCAGCTTCTTGCTCTGGGCCCCAATGGAATTCTACTCCTTTACGTGTAAGATTCACCAAAGGTCTGGCAATGAGGCTGTAGTTGCGAATATAAATGCGAAGTATTCCAGATGTTCCTAGAAATGATCGGACATCTGTTAGATCCTGGCATGGTCCCCAATTCTTGATCTTGTCAACTTTTCCATCTTCTGGAACTCATCCCTCATAGGTGCATTTATGCCCTACTATGACTGCCTCTGGCACACACAAATATGCCTTCTTCCCTGACCAGGTACAGCCCACATATTTGATCCGTTCGACCATGCGGTTTAGATTCTGAAAGTGTTCCCATACAAAGCGTCAAATACCAGGATTTTCTGGAATGGTCTCATACTCTCCATTTTCATCCTGATATCGCGATTTTGGGCCCTTGATTCCAGCATCATCAACAAATGGAATGGTAACATCAGGGATTTCATCTTGGAGTGTGTATGTGATGTCGCCTTGGAGGATCTGCATAGAATTGGTCCATCCCATAGGGAGTTTAGTTAGGCGAAATGTCCCTAGAGGTGTTTGGAAAGTAGTAAGGTCTCGACTCTGAGTGGCTATCAGCCTTTGGTCAAAGGCAACAAAAAGGTCAAAAACGCCATAGCAGGCTCGTCCTCCGAAGGTTTCAGCTAGTTGTTCAATGAAAGGGGGAACACCTGCATTTCTGATAGTGACTGCATTCAATGGTTGGAGATCATGTACAATGCAGAGTGAGTGTCCATCTTTCTTAAAGACTGTGAACCATTTGGATCGATAGGATGAGCTGGATGGTTCATAGATTCCTGAGGAAATTTTGTCTTTGACAATGGTGATTACTTCATGATATAGACCAGGTGGAATAGGTATATTTTTGTGGACCCATGGAATGTGCTCAATGACTGGAATAACAACTGGTGGAAAGAAATCTTCACAGAATTTTCCCTTCTGAGATTCATTCCATGCAAAACCCTCATTCTGCACCATCATAAAGTGATGCATCAGTTTTCGCTCCTCTGGCCATAGGAAGTCACCAGGATGGTTATCTTCGATGATATTATAGCACTCTTGAGTGTATCTTCCAGTGGGAGTGAATTCAGGGGGATTAGCAGACAGAATTGGAATTTTAGCAAGGGGATCTCCAATGATTTCTCGAACAATTCGGAATTCTTCAGGTAGTGTAGTAGGTACTGGCTTAGTCCGGTTGGCAACTTTCTTGTACTTCTTTTTGCCTGGTTTGGGACGTGATACTGCAAAAATTCCAGTTGGGGTGTAGCGTTCCATATCTGCCCAAGAGTCATTGACTTCAAAAAGGTTGAGATAAAGGAGTTCATGAGGTGAATCAATGTATTGAATGACTGAGAAGGTATTAACAGATGAAGGGTTTGGTGGATCATTTGTGGTGTGGTCCAAACTGGCAGAAGTTGGTGTTACAAGTGGCTCATCATACAGAGAATTTGCAAATTCTTTTGCACGTCTCATGTATGGCTGGGACTGATCAATATTTGGGGTATGACTCAGTTGTGATTCTGAGATAGCTTTAATACATATTGCATAGCCAGGTATTGAAGTGAGATCTATGTTTGGTGTAGAGTCATCTGATGATTGTAGTACAGAATATGTCCGAGAAGAAAAATCTGAAGGTAACTTTTCAACAGTGATAGATAGACCGAGCTCTCCCTTCTTGGAAAAGAGATCCTCGGTCAATTGGGAAAATTTGCTTCATTGGATGGGTGTTTTCGATGAAAATGAGGATTGGATTTTATATGACCTGGTTCCCATGTGAATCGTGGGTTTCCTCTCTCCTGAGTTGGCAGAGTAACCATCTTCCCTGTATTTGGGTCTGTGAGAGTGATTAACTGATCTCCTGTAGTACGATTGTCGATCTTGGATTGGGTGAGTATGCTGAATGGCCTTCCCAATAGGATATCATATGCAGCATTTTCGACTACATGAACCTGGAGAAGGACTTCTAGGCCACCAAAGTTAAATGGAACATTGTGGCATATTCCTTTTGACTGGTCACTGTTTTTATTTGCTGACTGCAATGATATTGTGATAGAGGGATCCAGTGGTAGAGCCAGCTCTTTCCATACAGCTGCTGACATGGCTACAACTTGGCATCCTTCATCCAAAATAGCTTCAACCTCATATGCTCCATCGATGACTGGAGTTAATGCTCTCAATGCTGCTGTTTGGTCTGCAACCATAATTTGCTGATGATACCCCTCCTGAAGGGTCATGACTAGCACTGCATCCTTTCCTACTGCTGCAGCTGCTCCACTTCCTTTAGAATCAATTGGTACCTTGCAGTTTGTGAGTGCATCTTTTACTTGTGACCGGACACCTGCTGATTCACTACAGAGCTCTCCAACAGTAAGGGTGATTGGTGTGTTGAGGATTCTCTTTGATAGATCCTCTGTTACCCCTTCTGACATAACAGGTGCTGCATGTCTATATTGTCGAGTATCCTTTGGTTTGGGTGGTGCTTCAGCAGGAGCATTCTCCTTGTGTTTGGTTGCAGCTGTAGGTGAAGTAGATGCTTGTGCTTCTCCTGCAGTGGGAATTTGCCCCTGTTTACTTCTGGATGTAGGAGCTTGTTCTTCTGGCTTGCCTGAGGTATTGGAGGTGCTATTGGTGCCTTTCTTTGCTCGAGTTTTTCTACCACCTTCAAATGATTGCTTGAGGATCTGAATTCCTTCCTCCTGATGCTGCATATATTGTCTAAAGACTGGAGCAGGGACAAATCCATCATCAGATTCCTCTTCATCATCTGTGGCATACATCATCTGAGACACTGGTCCTGTAGGAGGCAAAGTTCCTGTCAACTGTGATGGTGTGATAGTGCTCTGGAAGGATGATTGCTTACTGGTAGCTGGAATATGTGGTGGATAGCATATTTCAGGTATTGAAGTGTTCTTCTGTGTAGCTCCACCACCTGTTGTTAACATATTAACCATGACTGGAGTGGTTGTCTTGTGATCTGCATGCCACCTGAGTACTCGATCACGGGCATTCCCAGACCCTTTGGGGATTTCTGTTCCATCAGGCATGAGAGTCCTCTTTGTTGCATAATCCCATTTAATTAACTCTTTTTTCTGATCTGCTCTGCGATTGTCACAGTCCTTCCATCTTTTATCACAGCCATCATATGCACACTTGCGTGCAGTTGTGGCTAGCTTCTCCAGTTTAAGCAGCCGCTCCTCAAACTCAGTCTTGATAGCTGGTTGTGGAGCAGGAGGAGCAATTTCTGGCATAGGAGAGAAAGACTGAGCAGTGGTAGCTGGTTGAGATGGGGCCAATGGCTGTGGTGCTCCCCATGGTAGCATTGATGTTGGTGGTTGCATGGGATAGCCAGGATATCCATATGGTGGATAATAAGAGTTGAGCTGTCCACCAGAATTCATATTTGTGAGTGCTTTGACAGCATCTGCCATTGATGATGTAGGTTGTGCAAATACTTGTGGACTTGCATATCCAGGATTAATGGGCTGTTGTTGAGGTATAGATGGTGCTGGCATATAAGGCATTGATAGAGAATTTGGGTAGCCTAGTGAGGGTACCCCATAGGGCATGAATGGTGCCTGATACATCATTGTTGGATTTATATATGGTGAACGCTGGCTCTCCAAGATATACTTGGCTGCAGTTTTCACATTTTCATAGTCAAAAGGTATGGCAGGATCCTGATTTGGATGCAAAACAGCTAGTCGCTGATCTATTTGCACTCTGAGCATTGGATGAATTCCATTGATATAGTGCCGATTGAGTTCATGAGCTGAAATAAGTGGACTTTGACCCTTTCTCAAGTCAAGGCCTATTGCCATGATATGTCGATCATATCGCCCAAAGTCATCAAGAGTGTATATAGGCATATTTTGAAGATGTTGCACAGCCTGCTCCAGATGGACTGAAGAATAACAGTTAGTCACATTGGCCTTAGGATAGTAGGTGTAACATTGTGTCTTAAAGTTTTTCCAGTTGGCAGCTTTTACTGCTGGGATATTCTTCCAAAGTTCTGCTGATCCTGGATCAGCATATAGGATTGCTGCTGCAATATATTCTTCATCTTTTGTCATTCCAACTGATTTGCAAGTATGCTCCACTTCATCAAAGTATATGGGCAGAATGATGTTGTCTTCAGCCCCTCTCCATGTCCATGATGGAGCTTTACTTGATCCACGAAGTGGAAGCTGTTGGGTAGACATTAGGGAAGATATTGGTATGGAGAATATATGAGGTATGGGCAGTGAGAATGATGATTGTGTGTTATGTGGTGGAGGAGAGCTTGGACTAGGAGGGTCAGGATCTGGATTGCTATGTGAATCTGAATCAGAAGATGGTAGCTCAAGGTGAGCGTGATGGGATTCCTCTTCTGGAACAATAGAGAAAAATGATTGATCAGCCTCTGTGTCTGAGGTAGATGCTGTAGAAACAATAGATCGTCAGTAGTTTTCTAAAACAGCTCTGGCTTCGTTATAAGCCTGACGAGCTTGGGTGTCACGAAGATGATAGTGAGGTATCTGATGAATTGTGAAAGGCAAAACCCCCCCTCGCGGTGGGCTCCAGTTGTAAGGCTTGGGAATGTTGGTGTGAACCGAAATATATTCCCTAGCGAATTCTTTTGAATGGAAGGAGGGTCTTCAACAATTCTGACAGATTTGGACTAGGTATGATATGAGGACAAGAAATCCTTGGTCCAGAGCCCTAGGTGGTGCTAGGCTGCTACTGAGTTGGTGGAGTGAAAGGAAGTATATTGGGTCCCACTGATGTTGGGGGGAAAGAGGAATCTCCTCTGCTAATCTACAGCTGTATATATACTAGTAGAGAACAATAGACTACTAATTTAGGGTACAATGGAGAACAATAAAACAATGAGAAGGCTTGTAGAACAATAGAAACAATAGGATCTATAATACAATAGAGAACAAAAGAACAATGAGGTCCATGACACAAACAATGAAGGAGAACAATAAGAACAATAGAAATTGAAAGGATTACCAAAAGGGGAGAACAATAAAGACAATAGAATGATGAAACAATAAAACAATGAGTCCCTGCGGATGATCATTTGTTCTATCATCAATTTCTGATGCCAAGAGATTTCTTGGTTACAGATCTGAAGGGATAATTTCCTCTTCCATCTTTAAGCCTATTCTTTTCTAGTAGTACAGTTGTGTGAGAAAAGCTGGTTTGGTGCGCAGCCTGAACTGGATGTGCACACCGTTATCTGTATTGGCATCTGTCACCCCAAAATTACCCTAAAAGAAATCAAGTTCAATTCCTAGAAATGGATTATGGATCCTGTAAGATTTATGTTATATACAATGTCTCCCATTCTCTCAAGACACTAATTTTGGGGCTCCTGGGTTGTGGGTGGGCTTGCTCTTTTATGATGAATCCAACTAGCTGGATCTGATCCATCGGGTTGATCGATCACTCTTCGATCAAGGGACTTCCCATGTGGCTGAATTGAGAACCACCATCTGCATCCTGCATAATTGAGATTTCCTGTTCTCTGCGCTAGCATATCTAACATTATATTTACAGTATTCCATAGTTTTATATCTACAGAGTCAGTGTCAGTAAACGGAGTCTTTTTTTGCCACCGTAAGAAGAAGCAAAGTGGCTATGCTGCCGGTGGCTCAAAATTAAGCAGCCCGCATCTCAGAAGCAGATTCCAAAGTCTAGAGTGTGGAAAACTTTATTTCATATGAGTCATTAAGTTTCGAATGCGAAGGATTGTGGCTGTGAGGTTGCCAAGTATCCAAATGGTAGATACGTCTCTCGAGAAACTAGTGCTCTAGCATACAGACACATATAGGACAGAGAGCTCTTCTTACCATCAGCACATATCCTCCCGCCCAGAAGGGTTGGGTTTGTAAGTGTCTCTAAGATCATCATTTCTGTCCAAGTCCAATAATTTGGGTCGGACCTCCTGACATCCCAAATTCTGTCTCTGTAGAGATCATCATTTCTGTCTACCTTCATTCACTCAGGTTGGACCCGATGCCCCGATGTCCCAAGTCCTGAATTCTGTCTGTGTAGACTACCGCTGTCTTCTCCACGTGCGACCTGGATGTTGCAGCAAAGTCGATCCTGACAGCTGGAGTCACTATGCATCAGACAAATCCTGGCTTATTCAGATAGAATGCAGCAATTGCAGCAAAGGTTTGGCAGGACACCATGGCCCCACCACAATGCCAAGCATATTTTCCCATCTTGCAAAACAATCAACAGGAGTTTTTTGAGATTATAAACAATCATTTCACCAACTTTCAGATTTTTCTCGTGGCCTATTAGTCAAGCAGATGTTGCTGGCAAAATTGTCAATTGAACAACTCAGATGTCTACTACTTCAAAAAATAAGCCAGGATTTGTCTGATGCATAGTGACTCCAGCTGTCAGGATCGACTTTGCTGCAACATCCAGGTCGCACGTGGAGAAGACAGCGGTAGTCTACACAGACAGAATTCAGGACTTGGGACATCGGGGCATCGGGTCCAACCTGAGTGAATGAAGGTAGACAGAAATGATGATCTCTACAGAGACAGAATTTGGGATGTCAGGAGGTCCGACCCAAATTATTGGACTTGGACAGAAATGATGATCTTAGAGACACTTACAAACCCAACCCTTCTGGGCGGGAGGATATGTGCTGATGGTAAGAAGAGCTCTCTGTCCTATATGTGTCTGTATGCTAGAGCACTAGTTTCTCGAGAGACGTATCTACCATTTGGATACTTGGCAACCTCACAGCCACAATCCTTCGCATTCGAAACTTAATGACTCATATGAAATAAAGTTTTCCACACTCTAGACTTTGGAATCTGCTTCTGAGATGTGGGCTGCTTAATTTTGAGCCACCGGCAGCATAGCCACTTTGCTTCTTCTTACGGTGGCAAAAAAAGACTCCGTTTACTGACACTGACTCTGTAGATATAAAACTATGGAATACTGTAAATATAATGTTAGATATGCTAGCGCAGAGAACAGGAAATCTCAATTATGCAGGATGCAGATGGTGGTTCTCAATTCAGCCACATGGGAAGTCCCTTGATCGAAGAGTGATCGATCAACCCGATGGATCAGATCCAGCTAGTTGGATTCATCATAAAAGAGCAAGCCCACCCACAACCCAGGAGCCCCAAAATTAGTGTCTTGAGAGAATGGGAGACATTGTATATAACATAATTGACAACATGGACATGAGGTTCAAACACTGGCACGATATAGAGATGCCACCTGTGGCATGATGTGCAATGAAATGACATAATGACAAGCCTTAAGGTGATAGATATTGAGTCATGAGCTAACCCTGTTTCCTGGCCATCAGCTTGGACCCTGCCATTGACACCTTTATCACTTGAGACACTCACCGCTTTGTTCTAAGCCTGTCTGAAACTCTGAAACTGACATTATACCTCTTTCTTTAGATGTTATGATAGCGTAAGTAACGGTAGCAAACAGCAGTTGCAGGGCTTTGTTGCGTTGTGATGCAACTATATCATGCAGGCACCTATCAAATTCTTGCATCGTATATGTATATATTATTGGCAGTGAAACAACCTTCCATTGTAACTGGTTCTCAGAAACGCTCCTTGCCAAGAAGTTGACTGCTCAAAGCTTAGATCCATCCTTTTTTCTGGGGCTGCACAGTGTGCTGGTCCATTATCCACCGGATGATTCCTATCTCTGAAGAAGTCGGAAAACTTCTGAGTCTCTTGATACGATACTCTTCAGTTGCATAGTTGCTCTTGGGCAATCCCACTCAACATAATATTGCCTTAACTGATAACGTTCTCTGCTTTTAGTATCATCTTCAACAGCCTGAGGTCTAGTTACCATCAATATTGAATTGGATTCTTCCTTTCAACCAGGATGTCCATGCCTGCGTTGATCTGCATCAAGCACCGCTCCTTAGAAATTTGTATAAGATCTTTTCAGACCAATAAAGTTGTCCAAGTTTATTCGCTCTGAGAAATCTGATCAGAGTCATTGGACACTTTGTCACTTTCTGCCAATTTGTGCTTCTCATTCGAGTCATCTGCTTTCTTCCCACACCTCTATGTGATCCCGTAATAACTGTCATCATGCTCCACATGCCTTCTATCATGATACCTGCTAAGCAAGTTGGATGCTTACCGTTCTACCCAGTCTATGCACTACATGTAGAAGTATTCCCCAGTAGGCAGGTAGCTAAAGACCCTATTACAGCAATTGACTATTAATGTTCAGTGTTCACTATGTCACCACATGTCATTGCGAATCCACAGCTTCTTTGAATTCATACCCTGTCATCCTGCGATCAATTAGTTTGATTTCCCCAGTCAACCGAAGCGGCTATGGACTTGGTTGAGAGCAGTTGCTGAGTCCGGATGCCCAATGTTAGTCATGTCCATCATGCAAATACCCCAGATGGCTCACGTTTTTGTTAAGAACACATCAACACAGGCATGAGGCAACTGTATCCTCCATTAAGGAGTGTCTGCCGAACATGTTTCCCTTATAACCAAAGATTCTGGTGCATTTATGCGCATCTAATCATCTTGGATTCGCATTTCATTCTTACAACAGTCATTGTCTGATGATGTCTCGCTGGGGCCGCTTTTTGCCTCATAAAACATTGTAGGCTATATCAGTCTTGTTTCTCCAGACCTTTTGCCTAATGAATATGCCAGGTGCCTTATAGGCACATTGACCACTGTGCACTGTTTTCTCAAAAAAAACAATGCCCAAGTCTCGACACAGGTCCTTTGGAGAAGGGGCCAATTCTCTGCAATAACCATGGCTATACTTATGCCCAATAAGGGTCAAATTACTTTCATGTTAGAGCCAAACATATGGTATCTTTTTCAACTACTTTTATTCCTTTAGACTCACGTATTGCAGAACATACCAGTGCCCCCTATATGGGACCATGTTGGGCGTCCTTGCACTTGATTCACTGTCTCTAACCGCGAGTCAGAATGAAGGGAAGGATACCCTTTCATTCAAGATAGAGGCAAGATTTGGATGTGGACGTTCCACCGGCCACTGGGTTTGGGATGTGGATCTGTAGGTACATAGGATAATCATGAATATCACACAACTGTAGCTTATTGCCTGAAGATTGAGCATCAGCATAGTATCTGCTTTGACCACAGAACAAATCTCAGGACAACCGAGACCCCCTGAGCAATGTGGTATGGATGGACAGTGAGCCAAG